ATGATGATGATGATGATGATGATGATGATGATGATGATGATGATGATGATGATGATGATAATAATAATTACAACTCTCCGGGTCTCCAAAATGAACTGTGCAACCATATCGAACCTTTCTTATTTCTCAAATCTTGACTTGATTAGCGCAATTTATACTCTGAATATGTAACAATTCTCTTCTTTTACAAGTTCTCATTGCAAGCACACACCGGAACAAGTTTAACCGAGATCTTGTTATTTATATTATTTTATATTATATTTATTTTAATACATTGTATGGAAACTACTATTGCACTAAGTCGGTAAGTTAGTAAGTTGGTAGGTGGATGTAAGTTATCTTAATCCTCCATAGTTCAATGTGCGTCCTAATGGAGTTACTTCATCTTTGATCATAACGTCGACAATTTTGTTACATTTTGCGAAGTGATAATTCCTGTGACAGCTGAATCCAATCAATTGTTTTTCTGTAACTCCTGCAATAAAAAGACCTCAATTTGTCTTGCGCAAAACTTTGTTGGGGTTTACAACCACCTACCTCCGCGAACAAAAGAAAACGCGAATTCGATTACGTAATGAGCGCAAAAGATAAGCGGCGACTCGCGTGTTCGTATGAGGAAAGAGCTAGATCAAATTGGGTGTGTATCGTGTGCAGGATGGCGGGAATGTCGGAGAAGAAGACAGACGAGGACTTTTGCTCTGAGCCAATACTCACTGCACGAAATGAAACGGAGTGGATAAGAAGTGCACAACCGGGACTCGATCCACGACCTGCAACCTCACACGATGGCTCCGTCATCTACATATGGAGGCAACACTTGGCGGCATTCTTCGGTAAGCGAGTTGCTGTTGCACGCACGAAGGCAGCTCCGCACTCTTTTATTTTGGCTGCTCGTTGTCAGTTGTCATGAGGTGTTGAGGTGCTGCTTCTTGTGTCTTCGTCGTCCCTGGTGACATATCGGCAGGTGTCTGTCGTTGCAGACGTTGCCCACAAGGGAATATTTAGCGAAGCGGAGCGTCAGTCCGCGCACGTGTGTTCGTGTTTTAAGTTCTAGTCTCACGATTCTCATGTGAGTTACTATTTAAACATAATATTTACTGTTTAAACAAAACATTTATGCGTTTGTCTAATAGTTCATCAATGTTTAACTATCAGAGAAGTGCATAAATATTTTTCTATTATAAAAATTGTACAACCTCACGAATTATTTGCGTATCAACAACTCCGATATTGTGGAAGGTTTATGATCCAATTAGTTATAAATATACAAGGCTATTCAATAAAACCTCGACATCAAATATTTTTTAGTCAAGATATTGAAATGAGATTTTCCCCAAACGATTCAGGTCATAAGGGCTCATCATTTTTTTGACAGCATTTTATGTTTCAAATATTTTGAACTCATTTCGTTTTTTAAGTAGCACTGTACTTATTATTATTATTATTATTATTATTATTATTATTATTATTAT